GGTTATTTTTAGCACCCCCCTCTACCTCTGGACTGGGCAACCCCCACCCCTGCCCCCATGGACCCATTTCCCCACCTCACACAGACTGAGCCCCCCCTGCATTCATCTGCATTTGCCATTCCTGGTTTAGGTTTGGCTGGCTTAAAGTAAACAAATACTTATTTGTACCCTATGGGAGATCTGGTGGCTGCCTGTGGACCCTTTATTAAAGCAGAGCATGCCTCTGCTAGGTTTGAATAACATCTTTGATATTTATATGCTTCAAATATCTGTAGACTCTTCTTATCCTAACTCCATGAAGGTTGCTTACTAAACTACTAATCAGTCCCATCAACTAATTATTTGCATCCTTTTCTGATTGTTCTTCCCAATGGTATTATCAGTATTTATTTGTCAGTGACTTAAATACAATATTGCAAGTGCCTAGTGATTTGTGCATCTCTCTCTGCCATCCATAATTGCCCTGGCCTTATTTATTGTCCATTGGATGCCTGTTTTTTCTGTTTTTCCTGTTTTTTTTTTAAATTAACACTACGTTTTCTTTTCAGAAAACTTCAAGCAATTCAAAACTTTGCTGTGTGACCTTTTAGAAATAGTTGAAAAGCTTAATTAATTTTCCTAAAACTCATAATAATATATGATCTGCACTGTTTGATTTTTTTCTATTTGTTGTCTATGTATTTTTAAATGATTATTTTGAGTGTCCAGATATTTTTTTCTTCAAGTGCATTATTAAAGAGTAAGCCAACCTATTTTTGAATCCATTTGTTTCTTGAGCCTTCTCATCTGTTAATAGGTCTACTTTCTCTCTAGGCTTTTATCCCCCCAGATCTAGTTGTAAAAACCCTTCTAAATCCCTTTACCTCCTTTTGCCAGCATTAAGTCATTCTACCATTTTTACATTCCTTAAAAGTCATTTAATCTGACTCTGTAACTTATTAGGTTTTCTTCTAACTTTTGCCATTTTGCTTGCTGCGAGTGGCAGAATGGCATGTAAATTAGGACTATAGCTTTAGAAGTTTTTTGTTTGTGTGTATGACAGTTAAAAATGTTCACTATAAAATAACTTGCAGCTGACTAGATTTCTACATTTATTTAGCATGTTAGTTGGCTGTGATGATCTACTTTACACTCAGACAATATTTTGTGATAGTTAAACTTACAACAGTGCATTGAGCATAGAACCTTAGTATGATGCTTCTCAGGAAATAAACCTGTATTTATTACAAAGCACAAAAGAAAAAAAAAAAAGAAACCAGGTTGCTTTTTTTATTGTTACTTTAATACTTCCTCATATACAGATTTTTGGTCAGTGGTACACATTATGTTTCTTTGTTCTACATAGTTGTCCTTAGTTGTCTGTGATAATATAATACATTGATTTAGTCTCCATAGGCAGTGACAGCATTTTCTCCTTTTCTTTTAGGCCTGTCCCAGGTTCTCTGTCTTCACTACTGCACCTACATAACAGACAAAGACAGCCTATGCCTGCCTCTATGCCTGGAACCCTGCCCAATCCCACCATGCCTGGATCTTCTGCAGTACTAATGCCAGTAAGTTATATTAGTTTTAATACTATATGAGGCATTATCAGAGGAAAATAATCTACTGAATTATAAAAGGTGAAAATGTAGTTACTCAAAAGAGTGAATTCAGATTTTTATCTAATTTTGAGCTTAAACTTAAATAAACTGATTCAAATGAAGAGCTACTGTACTGAGTTTAAAGTAATGGAGTTACACCAATTTTAATCTCAGTTTATGTGAGACTAGATCCAGACCCTTTTTGTGCTTAGGGTTTCTGGCCCCGATAGTGATCTAACTTACTTCATTTACATCAAGAGTATTTCCACTGAACACAATGGAGTTGCATAAGTATTAAGTCAGAATCAGTCACTTACTAGAAAAATTATTGCAATGTGATCTTTCATGCTGGGAGGTGGTCAGTCAAATGTGAAGAATTGCGATTCACTCTTTCACTAAATTACTCATTTTGACTAAATTAAAACCCAGACCTGAAGGATTGTTGTTCACCATCAGTTTCCATTGACTTACTGTAAGATGGGAACTTCCAGTACTTTGTTAGTACTTTGTTACGTGCTGCTTTTCACAGTATTGCATTTACTTGCATATTCTCAATGAAAGAAATTACTATATTCATTAGAATGTAAGACAAGGTTTTTGCTGCCAATCAGCATAGGGAAAAAAGCCCCTTGTTAATGTTTATATTGTCCCTAAAATGAAGTATGTCTCTCCACCTCTTTGAAACAAAAGGTGTTATTTGATCTGCTTCTAAGGCTGGCACAGGTGTTTCCCTGGGGATAACCAGCAGCAGCACAATATGTGCCCCTGCTACTTGTCCCTGGGAAATGCCCATACACATGTGCTCTGGCACATGGCATGTTGCCCTGGGTTGGTTGGAGCAGCTGGTCTACTGATATCAATAAAACCCCCATGTTGCAAATTAGCATGGTGGGGAACACCTGCATGTGCGGCATGTGGAATGTGCGGCACCACAGACAGGTCTGTGGTGCTGCATACTGTACATGCACGATCATCTGGAAGCACCCTAGTGGTAGAAGAAGAGAACAATGGGTTTGATTTACCCAGATTGGGCCTCTGTCCATAATGGGTGTCTTTGTAGACTGGAAGTTAGCCAGCGCATACCAAGAAATGGTCTCTGCTACACAGCTTTCCTTGTCTGATTCCCAAATAGAATGGATATCCATTTTCAGTACCAATTTGACCCCAAATCAGGGATTTCAAATGGGTCCCTCTTCATCCACAGGTGTGAATCTGGATCATCAAATAAATAATAAAGCACCTATGGCATATATCTTCAGGAAAAACATTATCATGAAACACTTTTAATCAGTAATTTTTTTATCATTTCTAGTTATCTTCTAAATTTTTTAAGGTGCCATTAGGAAAGGAAAGTTTGTAAAAGGAAACTTCTAAAGGGTCATGAGGGCTTGTTGTTTTATTTTGCTGCAAGAATCATGCTCTAAAGCTTCACCAAAGAGACCTGGGGCATATAGGAAACACTCCTAACTTGAGCAGTCTCAGTAAGAAAAAAAAAAAAAAAAATCCCAGACTAATTTTCCATGCACTCTAGATCATGCATTTGTATTTATGTTTGAAACAAGCTCAGTTCAGCTACAGTGACAGCAGAAGCCACAATTTTATACAGCAGTGCTTTTAGAACCACTTAACTCAGAGTGTTGTTATACTAAAGGGGGAAAAATCATTACAAAAAACTCAAACCTGGGTGGCTGATATGTTTGTTTTGTAGAAAGTCTTTTTTTAACTGACTCAGATTTTGCAGGATGGATTCTGACAATACACACACAAGCAATTCACAAAACAGTTTGTTTTAGTGAAGACTCAAAGAAATAAAGCTGTGTCCATTTAAAGAGAAACTGAACATATGTTCATGATAATGTCTTTAGGCTTTTTTGTGTTAATTCCTCTCTTTCTTCTTCTCTTTGAAGATGGAGCGACAGATGTCAATGAACTCCAATATAATGGGGATGCAAGGTCCAAACCTCAATAATCCATGTGCTTCACCCCAAGTCCCTCCAATGCATTCAGAAGCCAAAATGGTAAGGAGAAACAATTGTGAAATCTGTTTTTATGCTTTTTTTTTTTTTT